GTGAAGTATAACCATTTTAATACAATGTGCAAATTCTGAAAACAATAAACATACTTTACTATAATTATTACGTGTTTCTATATTTGTCCAAGATTTCAATTATGTAAAAATATTTTGAGGTTGAATAACGATATTGATGTTGATTCAGAGTGCACATATGCGCAGAATCTTGTCTACTTTGGGAACCAGGGTAATTGGCACAACTTGTGACAAAATTTTAAACGCTTTTAATTGTCTAATAGCCCTTTCCATATGTATTCTAACATTTACAATTCTTCTCGTGGAAGTGACTTGTTCCTTGCTGAGTTGTGCACCTTTATTTGTAAATGAGGGTATAACTAAATTAATTTTCCTTTCGAATAATATGTCTCTAATTGTAAAACCACGGTCAGCCATGACCTCGTCGCCTGGCCGCAAGTATTCCAATATCCCAGAGTCCATAGTAATGAATTTATCACTACATCGTGGCGGCTGTGGCTCAGAGGTTGAGTGGGTTGTCCACCAATCGAAAGTTCAGCGGTCCGATCCCGGGCTCCTCCAGGCTGCATGTCGAAGTATCCTTGAGCAAGATACTGAACCCCAAATTGCTCACACACTGTTCCATCGGTGTGTGAGTGTGTTAAAAAACTGAGTAGCAGGTGGTACCTTGTATGGTAGCCTCGGCCACCAGTGTATGAATGTACGTGTGAATGGGTGAACGTGACTCGTAGTGTAAAAAGTGCTTTGAGTGGTCACTGGATGACTAGAAAGGCGCTATACAAATGCAGGTCCATTTACCATCATCCACCATATGCAGCAGAAATGAACATTGTTAGTCCACATGGGGCTATACTTACAAGGTACTTTATAGTATTATTTGAGTAGTAATGACTATAAGACTCTCCCTTTGAATCTAGGTTTTTGGGCTTTTGTAATAGCCTTTCACTACAGTCCAAAATGCATGTTGTTTTGGGGTACTTAGTTTTAAAAACTGCTGGCATAGTTGCTTGAATGGTTGCCCTCAGAAGCCATGGGATAAGGTCTCTTGTAACTTCCTCCAATTTGTCTATCCAAAAAGATACAATCTTACTTGCCAGGCTCTCAGATATAAAGAAACGTCTGCTCAGATCACCTATCATGAGGTTCAATCTCAACTTCATCAGTGTTAGAAGTACTTGGTCCCTTACTGCTAATTTAAAAGCATCAGCAAACATTTCAAGTGTGGAAATAAGAGTGTTAAAGGTTTCTAATGGAATACCAGTGTACAGCAATGAATCTGAATCATTTAGGAGAATATGATGTGTCACATTGCACTCACCAACGGGCGAGTTGAGTATAACCTACTCTCTATTTCACATCTGTCTTATTATTGTAGTTTTGTCTTTGTGTTAGGTTATGTTAGTTTATCTGTGTTATTAGTTCATTTTAAATTGCGCAGGGAGCCGGCAGGCTTAGTAGCAGGGAGGGGTGGATGGTAGCCTTGTGGGGGGTCCAGTATGCAGTAGCTCACAGACTGGGTGCAGTGTTGTGCTGTTTAATGAAATTCTGCAGTGGTGTGCTGTTTAATTAAAGTCTGCAGTGGCATGCTGTGATTTATATAGAGTGAGATGGGTGTAAGCTGGTCTATTTTCTATCTAGCCCTCTATGGTTTTTGATGAAGCTCTGGATGTTTGGTACTCCCCCTCCTGGCCGTTTATCTAACTCTCTGTCTGTGTCCTATAGCTGCTGTGTTCCTGCGCCCTAAATTATTGTCCATTTTAAAAAAAGGAATAAATAAAGCATATATTTTTTATACCATTATTGCTTCCTGTTTCCTGTGTGGATTTGTTCGAATCCTCTGACATAACCTACTGGTAAATTCTAGATGGTGGCAGCATTCATCTGCCCTGTTTACAAGGTTTATTACAATAGTAACTCGCTAACACTGTCACTGCCACTAACAACAGCTAGCTACATATAGCAAAGTATAGGAGACTGGAAATAAAAGACTGCCAGCCGGAAGAATCGAGTGTCATGGTGACACCCATTGCTGTTCGCAGGAAAGTGGTGAATACGGCGCCACTGTAGAGCTTAGATCGGGCCCAAAAAATCCAGCCCGACCCGGCCCGAGCCTGTGCACGTTATGTCTGGGACCGGCCCCACCCGTCCAATTAACTGTAATTATGGGCCCGAGCCCGATTTAAACCAGACATTTTTCAATAAGTTGGCTGTTATAATTAAGAGTATTAAACCACAATTCTTGTTATTTGAATGACAGAAATATAGGATCTTAATGAATGGCACAACACGGAAGCATGATTATGTAATAAAACAGGTGTTTATTTCAGCATCCCAAGGTCAAATGAAAAAATTAACAGTTAACTATAACATTATTTAACTTTAAATTAACTCTGTGCAGCCTTGGTCTTAGTCTTAACTCTAACTTAAGTAGCACTTAATTTGTAAACAAAATGAATAGGTAGGCTAATTATTTAAAGCAGTGAAAAATGCTGGGTCAGGTTTATATAAAAAGACTTAAACAAATGGGGGGGGGGGGGGGGGGGGGGGGGGG